TTCGTTTTTTCTTATCGCTTATTGGAAATACCAAGTATAGCCAGGTCCTTCTGGCTACCTGGTCTTTCCAACGGAGTGAAGGTCTTTCCTTTCCTCTGCTTCCACCGGGGAGTACTGAGTCAAAAACTTTCAAAGCTAGAGTATTCAAATCCATCCGGACCACATGACCTAGCCAGCGTAGCCGCTGCTTCTTGTTTCGCTGAACTATATCAATGTTGCCGTATAACTCGTACAGCTCATCGTTCCATAGTAGGACGGAAACGATGAAGGACTTGTAGAGTTTGGATTTCGATCGTCGGGAAAGAACTTTACTTTTCAATCACCTACACAGCCCAAAGTAGCATCTGTCTGCAAGAGTGATTCTGCGCTGGAAATCATCTTTCCGATCCTAACGGAGCTTCCCGTTTTGTTCAAGATCTACATAGCCGTATAAGTTTTGCGGGGAAAACAAATTCAGACATACCGGCGTAAAGGCTGCTCCTTTTCGTGCTGTCGAAGCCGCTTTTAAAATCGACGAAGAGGTGGTGGTTGTCGATCTTCTTTTCACGGGTCTTTTTTAAGATTTGGCAGATGGTGAATGAATAATTGCCTTACTAGGTCTAAAGCCTTCTGGTCTGAAGGTCCAATCAGTTTGTTGAAGGTGGGCTTCAGTCTTTCACCCAAACGCTCGACAGAACCATATACAATCCCCCGGTAATTGGCGCAGACTGTGGGGTCCCCTTCTTTATGAATTGGGCAGAGCGCACTGAAATTCCAATCGCCTGGCACGCTTTCGTCCGACCATATTCTGAAAAATAGCTCCACCTTGTCAGCTTTTTACTGTCATGCTTTGATAGTTCCGATGGTAGGCCGTCAGCTCCCGCAGCTTTATTTTTTTAAAGCGTGCGGTTCCTATTCGACCTTCTTCTTAGCCAGGAAATGGAACGTATATTCCTCCGGTCTTAAATTTTCTGCAAGTCGTCATATCTTTTCGAGCATTACCCTTGCCGGTCACATTTGTCTGCAGATGTGTCTTGCTTCCCTCTTCATCTCTTGGTACCTATTTGTTTTCTCTCCACTGCGGCATGGCAGTCCTCATAGTACCAGCAATTTTTGCGGCCTTTACGAAATCCAATAGTCTCGTTTGCTGCTGTACGTAGGGAGCTTTAAATGCCGTCCCACAGGTCCCGTATACCGAGTTGCTGATGAGTGCTCTCAGAGAGCAGGAGTGCAAGTCGAGTAGAAAATCGTTCGGTAGTCAGTTGTAATTGCAGCTATTCAACGTCGAACTTTCCTTGTGTTTGTTGACGGGCGTTCTTCGATACACAGAAGCGCATGCGTACCTTCGCTGCAACAAGATAATAATCCGAGTCGATGTTGGGTCCTCGAAGAACACTGGAGACATGTTTCCGTAGATCACAATATGATCGTTCTGGTTTAGTGTTTTTCGATCACGGGACAGCCAAGTAGCTGGAATCTAGTACTACAGACAACCATATTTCGGGCGCCAACGAAGTCGATCAGCCTCAACCCATTAAAGGATATTTCGTTGTGAAAGATGCTTCTTTGATCACCCTATCTTTAAAATCGCCAAGCACGGTTTTCACATCGTGTCGGGGGCAGCGCTCGTAAGTATGCTCTAAGCGCTCATAAAAGGCATCTTTGGCCAAATCGTCCTTCTCTTCCGACGGGACGTGGGCGTAAATCAGCGATATGTTGGAAAATTTCTCTTTGATGCGAATTGTGGCGAGACGCTCACCCACCGGGGTGAATGCCAGTATTCGACGACGGAGTCCCTCCCCACCTCAAATCCAATACCAAATTTGCGCTCCTTTATATGGCCGCAGTAGTTAATTTCACAAGGACCCACCTTTTTCTGTCCTTGCCCCATCCATGGCATATCTTGGACGGCGGGGAAGTGAGCCTTTATTCTTACGAAGACATCAACCAGCTGGACATCGGCACCTTCCCAATTAAGGGATCGGACATTCCAGGTGCATGCCCTCAAATCGTAATCTTTAATTCGTTTGCAGGGGTCGTCAACAAAGAGGGGTTATCTCATACGAGGCGTTGTTGAATTTAGCTTTGGAGCTGGTTGCTACGTGGCGGGTTCCAAACCCCGTGCACAACATCGCTAGGCAAGTAAGCCTAAAGTTTTTACTTACATTACCCTATTACTTCTCACTCTCAAACTTACATTCATACAAAATAGTTTGTATCATATTATAATAAAATTTTATAAAAGGAATTAAATATGAATATAAATTAATATATAAAAAAAATATCAAAATAAATCGCAAATTAAGGGAAGCCACACTACATACATTCATTCTAACTTCCGTAAGTTCCCCAGAACAGTTTTTATGAATGCCTTCTCTGATATATACGTACTTAATATATTAAACCCAACTAGTGCGAAACTGAGAGGTATACATACACATACATACATATGCTCAATAGCGCTGAGACAGTACACTCAAATAAATAAAGTGGAGTTCAATAAAGTTGGGACACATTCAAGAGTAAAAAAAATATAAATAAAACAAGATAGCTAATAAATACAATAGTTAAATAAAAAATTAAAGTTTATATAAATATCCTAAAATAAATTTTTTAATTATATAAAATCAAATTGAAATGAAGAAACTGTAAAAAACTCAATTCAAGTACATTGAAAGCCCTCCATTAGGAAAGGTGGCTCACGATATACTGGAACCACCTCAACACCTCCAAACTCAATCGCAGCCCCACGAATCCCAGAAACACTTAACAAAGGTTGACAGAGAATTTTTATACAACAAAGACGGCATTGGAGGCAAATAAGGAGAGGCTCGAAAGACTCATGGCCCTGGCACCGAGAATGAAAAACTCAAACGGAATGTGCAGAACGTTATGGCACATCTAGTGCCAGAGCGGTGCTAATGAGGACTCGGATGGATGAGTTAGTCCTTCAACTCGCCTCGAAATTTGAACCGGTGACATCAAGGTTCCACCCGCACTCCCTAGATCAATTTCAAACTCAACCTTCTCAAAAAAGCACAAACCTATCTGTGCCGTATTTTACGGAGAAAATATAGAATGGCCGTCATTTATAGATTATTTCCCGGCAGCATATATTCGAAACCGCAAGTTTTCTCTAAGGCAAAAAATGCTTTAATTTAAAATCAGAACTCGAGGAGAAGCAGCAGAAACCAATATGGAATTTAAAAGAAACGAGTTCAGCTTTAATCCCACTTGGCAACTTTGCCTTCGAGATACGAAAGCTCTCATTTGCTGACCAGAACCCGATCTATCAGATTCGGAGCCGGCGATAGCGGAGTTCAACTTCACACTTTCCGCCACTTTTGATATAAAAACTTATTCTCAATTAAAAAAGGTATTTTCATGCGAATCATAGCACTCTCCTCACCCAATGATGAAATGCCCAAAGTTTCAAGAGCTATCAGATTCTCAAAAGCAACTTAACATTCTTATATTGCAAAAAGCGACACCACTCACTTCTCTACTTGAGACAACCCCAGAGACCAAATGACCCAATCCTCCAAAGATATAATACCACTGCCCACAGGCAACAATACCCAACTCAACTCAACCCATTCAAATCGTATACTCGAACATATCAAGTTGCAGAGAAACTTTACTGTTACCCACGGCAAGCGTCCAAATTTTCCGCAAAGGAAAAATTATGAAAATACGAGTTCCAATAAATCTGTGTTGCTAAAAAATTTTGTATCTTCTCTAATGCAAAAGTTCCTTAAAAATACTTCTTCCAGGTTTCAAGAGCTTTGGCAGCTTAATAGCCCAAAACTCTATCTAGCATAAGAAGATAATATCTCACTCACTCCACCTCCTCTTATCACGAATACAGAATCTCCAATTTTCGACCCGACAGGATGGCCATCGGCCAAGATGAAATGATCAAAAGTCCCCAACTCAGCAGCTTTGGATACAAAAACCTGTTCGCGATCACAAACACAATTCATGGTACAATCACTTACTCACTCATTCCCGGGACCAGATAGGCTATCGAAAGCTGCCTCATTCCCCAATCGAACAGAGTTTCCCACGAAGTCAGAAAAGAAGATCGGAACCCCTACCAATTTCACTCCTTCCGTAATAGTGTGATTCAACGCCTCATTCATAGAATTAGTGGAGTTGGAGCGACTCCAACGAAGACGAAAAAACCAAGAACGAAGAAGGCCGTCGAAAATTTCCCGAAGCCGCATCAGCTTCACCCATTAAAAAGCTTCCAGCACAAAAATTCCTCCAGTTTTATGGAGTAAAGTAAACTAGGACATCCCAGAACCTCAAAAATAGCAAGAATGAGCTCTCACTCACATCTTCATCCAACTACGCAATCCTGCAATGTTCAGGTTGGCTCACTTCGGTGGAAAAATATATGGCTAGCCAAGCAATACGAACTCCGACCAAAACTCAACTGGCTGTTCTTATCCGGGGCACATAAATCCTCAGGATGCCCAAAATAGACGACCCTTCACTCCTAATGAAGAACATACTCAATCCCAACGATTAACAGTCTCGCAACACGAACATCCGTATGTCAGGCGGATCTGTCACACACAGTCGAATTACCTCTACGACTCTCTCTCTCTGGAGTCACTCTCTTTTTTCTCTCTCTCTCTCTTCTATACAGAAACCAGTTTTTCTGCCATTATCCCTTTACATCAATATATTCACAGTTATTCATGTACTAATAATGTGTTTCGATTTCCATGATGTCATAAAACCGCAAGCCCACCGGCATGTTAAAGACATAAGTTTAACGCTGAAAATTTATAAGATTCTTTCCAAATTATATTTGTACTTACCTTATCTTTACCTACCGTTTTACTTCCCACAATTTACTTCCAAGCAAATAGAACCTTACATGTAAAAAGGTTCGCTCGCTATCTCTTTCAAAACCAGATATATATTTCTAATATAATTAATAATAGCAACTCCATATTTTGTAATAATAATAAAAATGAAAGGACCAAAAAGTGAGTTTTTAATAAAACTTAACTTTAATTTAATGCTGAAGAATTAAACATAAGTGAACATTCGTCATTCCAAACAAGTATTGTATATATATTACTACTACGATACAAACACCACTCGCCCAGAACTAATGACACATTCATATTTATAGACAGCGGCTTTCCTAGTAAAAATGCTGGCCTTCGACAAATCGACGTTTTACACTACCCCGGAAAAGAAGTTCACTGTTCTGTCTATGACCTAAACCTGGAAATTAAATTATTCTTATACAAGTATTCAAGCGATTTGAAATCTGACGTAGAGCGTTGTTATTTGGACCTGGGTGAAATGCTTGCAGACATCTCGCTAGCCAGGCACCAACTCAGCAGAAACTGACATCAATAAAATCTGCTGAAAAGTGCATTTTAATAGTGGCGAATTTGATTTAAAGTATAAATGTACAATCATAAACATGTATAGTTATAAGCGAAAATCCAAATTAATATACGTAACACATATGTAGTAATAAGGAATGTTGATTTTAATAAGGTTTAAAATGTGCTTCGTACTGTTGAAAATGCGCCATTTGTGGTCATGGTGGTGTGAGTGTGTATATTTTGATTTATAATTGACAAAAAGCTGATTTTTCCATAATGCGTCATTTAACTTTAATTTGGGTACTGCTCTGTAAAAATATTCAAACAGTAGAACACATAATAATGAAGTGGATCCTCAGAACAGTCGTACGACAATGGTGAGTCAAATTTCTTGGCTTCTGTTATCTTTATATTTACATTTGTATATGTATATAATCGTGGTGTTCTTTTTCTGTTTATTTTATTGATTTTTCATTTATAGATTTGTTTTAGGTGATTTTAGTTAAGCTTTTGTATTGGTTTAGGTGTGATATTTGACAAGGGATCTTGTTATTTGTCCTCTTTCAGTCCAAAGATCCACTGGCTGGAATTGGAGGATTCTTCCCAGTCGCCATTCGTTAGGTGGCAGGTTAGCTTCCTTGATAAACAATAAGTCTCCTGTAATTAAATGTTGTGGGTGTATCCATTTGATGCGGTTTTGCATCTCCATTGAATATTTATTTTTCCATCATCTGCAAAACGAGTGGTGTAAAGCCTTTAGCATCTGCTACCTATTAACAACTGATTTTTCGTTGACACTAGGATCCGGTGGTACTAACAAATGTCCACCAACCAGAAACTGGCTGACTCCAGGCAATAGTTCAAAGTCAGTTGCGTTATTTGAGGAAGGATAGTGTGGTCGCGAGTTGAGACATATCTCAGCTCAGCACAACAACGTACTTAGCTTCTCAAACGTAAACTTAAAACTCGATGTGATTTTCTTAAAATGATTTTTAAAACTTTTTACTCAAGCTGCCCGCAGTCCTTCCATATCAGAAGCTGAAGCTGGAATAAAACGCCAATTTAATTCTTGAAACGCATATTTGGAAACGATGCTATCACGAGCATCTGCAATAAAGGCTGAGTCTTAGTGATAGTGAGACTTCTACAAAGTTGGTGCCGTTATCGAAATGGACACCGTCGCCCACAGACAAACATGGAAAATGCTGACAGAAATTATTGAGTGCTCAATTCACTAATTGCTTCCAAACGGGTGGCGTTGTTGAAAAGCAAACAAATAGGCAGACTAGGAGATTCGACAACCTCTGTCGCTGTAGCTTTTAATTTCAAACGGACCTGCAACACCGACACCAATATTGGTAAAGGCTCTACAATTATATATAATGGATCCGATCCATGCTCTATATCTGTGCAATCCAAAAGGGCGTTCGAATGAGGTGTAACATCATCTGCATGTAAGGAGATTTCATGGATGAAATGGACAATCAGACGTGACAATCTGCAATTGTTGGATAGTATTATTGGATGACGGTCGCTATACGCGAGATCACGTGATGCGTCCTCATAACACCGTTATTATCTAAAAAGGGGTGTAACGAAATTAGTTCACTTTTTAAATTTAGTCGATTTTTTTACTTTATTCTATTGTAGTGTTACATACTATTTTCTGCTTATGCTATTTCGACGGATCCCTTTCAAGCCATGTAGATCCTTTTCACCACAGGCTAGTCTTTATTAAATCGGATGCTGAAAGTCGTCTGATAGCTAGATCCGCTGGATAAGTTGCTGAGTCGACATATTACCAGGTCTTATTTCCAACCTTTTTAACAATCTTTGTGATTCTATGTGCGACGAAAGTTGACGATGAACACGTAGGCTTGAGTGTCTATGCCAGCAAAGTGGTTGAATCCGTCCATAAACGAATTTTTGTATCAGCTAAGCTACGGTTGATTATTAATAATTCTATAAATTCAGCTAGCAATACTGCCCGGCGAAGTTCAAGACTTAGTACAGATATTGTCTTGACTGGGGCTACTCGGGTTTTTGCGAGAGGTATACTGACAGCGTCTTTCCTCTGTACTCATGTAGATACCGTTAAACCGCCAGAGCTAAGTCTAGAAATACTTGAACTGTCTTTGCGCTGATTTGAGGAAAAGGGAGATCTTCAGTTAGTCGCGGTCAAATTAAAAGATAGGCGTTCATATTAAGCAGATGATTGATTGGTGAGCAAAGTTGAACAAAACATGCTTGTACCGTTTATGTGATTCGGTGATAAATTAGTATTCTGAATAGTTGGTACCTCCTGCATTTAAGAGAACTCGAAAACCCAACAAAGTTCCTGAGTTTGCCCAAGCATGGATTGCAGGATTGCACATTATTTGATTTCCGCGGGTTTAGGTTCTCACGTGCTTATGCGGATGTGCATGGCATGTCGTCTCTGGTGGTTTGTAGTTTTTTTATCAATTGTCTTCTAAATCATAGGTTATATATGTAGAAGAGTGTGATGCGTAAATGGCAATAAGCGCAGTTTATACATACTTGATGACGTTTAACTATCTTCAATCGTTCTTTTGAAGTAATTTTCCAAAGTCTGAGCAATAGCAAAATTTATGCTGGTGTCACACATAGGATAGTTTGGTTTGAGGACACTCACTTGATATGAGGCAAGCCTTTTACGGCGGGTCTCTTGATTATGACAATATTTATTGGCATGCGGCTTAAGCGGCTATGCGTTCTTTGAATCGTTTTTTGTGCCACTGCTTCGATGGCCTGAACCGGCTTGTCAGGAAGCCATCAAGCTCCTCCTAGGTTGGAATCTCAGTACAGTCCCATAGGGCTTTATTGTCATCTGGTATTTTAAATGTGCAAAAGTATGTCACTATTGAAACAACCAATTTTATGGTTCTTTAAAAATGACACGCAATTATTTATTTTTCACTGTAATTGCTTCAGAGAATTGCAATCATTTTCCTAAATGGGCGACAGACTAAATAAAATTTTAAATTGTGCCTTAACTAACTGAAACTTACTTTCGTATCTATGGCAGAGGTATTTGAATTCGGCCTCGAAGCCTTCATTTGTTTTTGAACAATTTTGTACTACTTTTTTGGCTTCCCTTCAGTTTCCATCAGAACAAGTAATAAATTTTCCACTGGAGAAAGACCCTTGTTGCATGGATTCATTGGGTCTCGGAAGTTCGTAGATAATTCAACAAGATAACGGACCTTACCAAACAGCGGGCTTGGGGAAGGAATGACTATTGCATTATGCTCCTCGTCAGCTTTATAGTCCGCCGAAATCATCAGACTTGAACCCCAATGAGCAGATTTGGGAGTTATTGGCACGAAAAATTGCTATGGCGGCTTCAACCAGCAAATAAGTCTTGGAAGAATATCTGAAAAAGGCATAGTCTTAGATTGCGTCATCGGAAATAGAAAATTTGGTTACATTTACCCCCACGTCATCTAAAGGTAGTTATAGAACCATGAGGTGGGCCAACAAAATATTATAATTGTTTTAAACACCTTTATTTTGAGTTTAATTTGGTCGAAACAAGAAATAATATGTGTTGTATTTAAACTTTTGTCCCGCATGGTTTTAAGTGATTTAAGCGACGTGGAATATTTTTTTGGATTGCATTATTGATTAGTTATACACTTCAATTAAACAGCATTCGTACACTTACTCTAAAATGCTTAAAATTAATAAAAAGTTGAATCTTATAGATGTATTTAAACTTTTATCTTTGACTGTATAAGGATGGGCGAGTTCTGAAACATCCAACTACCTTATATTGATGCGGTTGTGAAACAATGCAACCCTGTATTCTATAGATTTGCTTTCCAACAATACTTCGCAAACTCTGACATTTTGGAACGCTTTTCGTGCAAATAAGTTGCTTTTCGGTGAAATGGCTAAAATACGAAACAGATAAAAAAGACAAGTAATATGAAGTTAAAAAAAATAATTAGCGCAAATAACTTGCTCTCCGCCGTCGACCGTTAAGAATTTATCATAAAACAAAGCATCACAAACCTTAGCGATGGGCAGTTTACTTTTGTCTGCGCATCAATAACATTGCCGACGCATTTTGGAACATGATACATTATCATGGTTTGCTCTACTGCATTTAGGAAAGCGTGACAATGTATGGTTGCTTTGCAACTGACGTTTTGGAACTCACCCGATCAGGTGGAGAACAACGTAGCTTCACTTGTTTTTATCGGTTAGCAGATTAAGAAGAAGACGTATAAAATCATTACTTAGAAGAACCTGTAGTTCATAAAACTGAATTTAAAAATACAATATTTTTATCAGCACAAAGGCAAAGCTTAAATTTGTATGCTTCTTTTATTTACAACAAACACACATTAATTCAAGCTCAAAGTTTCAGAGCTGCATATATATGCTATACAAGAATTTTTTAAATGTATTTCATAGCTATAAATTTTGGCTTAAATTATATTTGCATGAAAATACTATGTATATAAGTTTTAAAATATTTTAACAGATGCTGAATTCATTTAGCTATCCATTGATATGTTCAATATGTCTAAAAATACTCCCATTGGTGTTGAAGGATTGAAGCTCTCCATCGTATTTACCATTTTATTTTTAATATTCCTTAACCTTAGAGAAGCATGTATGAAAGTTACTGCAATAAAAAGAAAGTAAATAAGATAAAATCTCACTTACTTGCGATTTTAAAATGAGAAGAAAATTATTTGCTTTAAATGTCAGCGGCACAGAAATTATATCTTTGACAACACTCAATAAAAATAAAGATAGTGTAAAATTTGGATAAAGAAACNGGAAACTACGTTTTTTAAAGAAGATGCTTTTCAATTTGATCACATAGTCAATTTGATAATGCCTAAATTTAAACTCCCTATGTATAGCTGCAAACGGAACTATTAGATATCGTAAAGGTCGCAAAAACAGCTGGCACGATGAGGATTGCCGTGTCGCAGTGGAGAAAAAACAGACTGCCTACCTGGCAACCTTGCGATCGACCAAAAGACGCGCGGGATGGGATAGATACCGAGAGATGAAAAGGGAAGCAAGACGCATCTGCAGACAAAAAAAGAAAGAGGCCGAGATGCGTGAGTATGAAGAGTTTGAGAAGCTGGCTGTCAAGAGTGATGCTCGAAAATTCTTCGAGAATATCCGACAAATTACACAGGGGTTCAAGACCGGAGCAGACTCTTGTAAGACACAAAGAGGTGATCTAGCCACTGATGCCTAGAGTACATTGAATTTATGGAGGAAACAATTCTCCAACCTGCTGAATAGCAGGGAAAATGGAGTATCCGGAGGTGGTGAGCCCGAAACCCCAATCGATGAAATGGAAAAGGATGGGAACACTTCTCCAACTTGCTGGATAGCAGTGAAAATGGAGAATCCGGAGATGGTGAACCCGAAATCCTTGACAATGAAGAAGTTCGAATAGCTATCACCCGCTTAATAAACAGCAAAACGGCGAGAGCTGACGGCCAACTAAGAGAACTATTCAAAAAGCTGACAAGGTGCATGCATCAGTTACTTTGCAGAATATGGTCGGACGAAAGCATGCCCGACGATTGGAATTTAAATGTGCTCTGCCCAATCTATGAAAGGGGACCCCACAGTCTGTGCCAATCACCGTGGGATAAGCCGATGATTTTGACATTATCGGCCTCAACAACCGCGCCGTTAGTTTCGCTTTCTCCAGGCTTGATAAAGAAGCGAAACGAATGGGTCTAGTAGTGAACGAGGACAAGACGAAATATCTCCTAATATCAAACCAACAGTCATTTCATTCGCGACTTGGCTCCCACGTCACTGTTGGCAATCATAACTTTGAAGTCGTAGATAATTTTGTCCATCTAGGACGCAGCATGAACACCAATAATAACGTCAGTCTTGAAATCCAACGCAGAATCGCTCTTGCCAACAGGTGCTACTTTGGACTGAGTAGGCAATTGAAAAGTAAAGTCCTCTCCCGACGAGCGGAAACCACACTCTACAAGTCCCTCATCGTTCACGTCCTGCTATATCGAGCGGAAGAATGGACGATGACGGTGTCTACGTCAGTAAGTAAAAGCAAATTTTAAAATCTCTTACGACTTCTAAACTGAAGCTTTTATATTCTATGGTCTAGGCTTCTGATACTTTGGTAGGTCAGTTGAGCATAGTGGCTCTCCGAAGCAATAAAATATCTAAAAAAAAAACAAGGTTGCACTTACCGAAATTGTTCAGGGCAATGTATTGTATGTGGCAACAGCAGCCGTAGAAGTAGAAATAAATCAAAAACATCAGATTAGAACCAAAACACTCAATTCTTAAAAATATTACTAGTACTGTTATAATGTGGAAAAGAAGCGATAGCACCTTTCTTTACACCTGAGAGTTTCTTCTTAAAATGTTTTACTCACCATAACGATAAATCGTTCACCATAGACAATAACAGATGATAATCACTTGGTGCCGGGTCCGGACTATAAGGTTGAAGTCTAACACCTTCTCAATCTACCTATCTGAGTTCCTGGCGGATCAATATCGATATTTGTGGTCTGGCGTTGGCCTGGTTAAACAGAGATCCCCTCCTATTGTCCAAAGCATGGCAGCTTTGGTTTATTACTTCCTTCAGATGGTCAAATTGCTGACAATGTATGTTTTGAATTTGGCTGTGAAGTAATAGTTTAGAGTGGATGATCCCTAGCCAATCTAACCAAACTCACAACCAAACCTTCCCGACCGTCANGAGACTTTAGTCGATCGACACCAGATGCGCGTTTTGCTACAGCTATGAAAGTAGCGTTGGATTCATAATACTTTTTTAACTTGCATTTAATCAATTCAACAGTAGAGTTGAGGCATACATAATATCTAGTTACATCATGCTTCTGTCGCTATTCCATCCACATTACTGGCTTCACACAGCGCACACATGCAATTCTTATACCTCTGATTCTCGGTGAATGTGTTTCTTTTTTCCTGAAATTCTATTTTCGGCACTATATGACCTCAGACATAGCAAAAATCGTCGAGTTTTGGGCACCTGTATTTTGCATATTGAAATCATGAATGGTTTTCTGCATTTAAAAATGATATTCACTCTAAATTAATTTTATCTTGTTGCACAAAGTACGCTTAATAAACTCGTTCTCCCAAATTCTTATATGAGCTAAGCGAATGATACAGAAATTAAAGATTTGGTATCCACTTTCAATTTCTGATCACGAAAGTCTTGTCGGATTCGATGGCCCGAATAATATTGCACTGCGCAGTGGTTCTGTGTAAATTTTGCAAATTATTAAAATTTCAACAGGACTAGCTCATTTACTTTTATATATAATATATATATACATATTATATATGTATGTTGCGAAGTGTGAAAGGTTGTGCTAAATACCTTTGGGGTATACGAAATAAAACTGCATGAAAATTACGCCCGAAATTATGGTGAAATAACTAGGCTTTCAGACACTTTGTTGACCAATCTGTGTAACATTAGTCATTGTGTTCGAAAACCCCACGAAGCTGAAGTCGCCATTGCAGCCATATAAATGTGTGCCGTCACAATTTTTTATTTCGAAGTGTGACTACCACGAACTCATATATCAGCAATTTCTGTAATTAAGTATCCAATTGCTCGTGCTGTACTATTGGTGAAAGTTACAATTATATTAATATTGACATTATTGGCCTCAACAACGGCTTCATGAGTTCTGCGTTCTCCAAGCTTGATAAAACAGCGTAGCGAATAGGTCTGGTAGTGAACAAGGACAAGACGAAATATCTCCTGTCATCAAACAGTCATCGCATTCGCGACGCGACTCCCACGTCACTGTTGACAGTTATAATTTTGAAGTCGTAGATTATTTCGTGTATCTAGGAACCAGAATTAACACCAATAATAACGTCAGCCTAGAAATCCAGCGCAGAATCACTCTTGCCAACAGGTGCTACTTTGGACTGAGTAGGTAATTGTAAAGTAAACTCCACAAGTCCCTCATCGTTCCCTTCCTGTTATATGGTGCGGAAGAATGGACGATGTCAACATCTGATGAGTCGGCGCTAGGATGAGTCGAGAGAAAGGTTTTGCGTAAAATTTACCGTCTTACGAGTTGGGAACGGCGAATACCGCAGCCGATAAAGTGATGAGCTGCATGAAATATACGGTGCCAATGACATAGTTTACCGAATCAAGAAACAGCAGTTGCGCTGTCTAGGTTATACAAAGTGACGTCACCTTCGATTAGCAACAGTTACGTATACAAAAAAAACTTAGTACAGCGCCGCAGCAAAATATACTCGTATAGTATGTATAAAAATTATTTTTTGAAGTATTTTACAAGTTCAAGCCGCTGAATTTTTATATCAGTAAATAATTTTACTGTACTGAATACAGAACAAGAGGGTTAATTTAAATCAAATAATGAATGTTTACTAAACAAATTTTAAATTGCGGCACAAATAAGAATATACTCGTATTTATACCTTATTCCGTGGACGTCACATCGTTTTTAGTTGATACCACATCGATGCAAAATAGTTATTAGTTGAACGTTTGCCGATAAAATCAATTTTTCCACTTCTTCATCAGCTGTTTTTTTTTTTTTTGTTTTCTTTAAATCTTTTTGAAGCCACAAAATCTGTAAAACTTTTATTGATTTTTCCGCAAAAGTTCTTATTTTCTATCAACAGAATTAAATTAA